AGAAGCTAAGCTGCTCCAGGCCGTTTGTGCCCTGCTGAGGTCAACATGAAACACCTGGAACCATGTTGCTCCCCTCAAGCTCCCTCACTCCAGCCCCTCCACTTATGGCTTGAGCTGGTGCCTCTCTGACCCAGCCATGTTGGAGTGCTGTGATGGGTCTCTGTGCCCCCTGCAGCTCTGTCCCACACACTCGGTGGGTGGGGAGGAAGCCAGAGAACAGGAGGAGAGGCCATTCGCTCCTGGAGCTTGTTCCAGGCAGTGTGGGAGAAAGGGCAAGGCCCCATGCCTGCCCCCGCCCGCCTCGTGGGGTAGGTGGATAGGGAAGGTGGCATCCTGTTTTCCTTGTGGGATCTGGGCTCTTTCAGATGTTCCTTCCTGCTCCCTGACAAGAGGACTGGAATGCAGTGACCCACTCCGAGTGGTCCTAACCCAGCACTCACAATGCCATGGTGGAGGAGTGTGGGAGAGGGCAATCGGTCTGTGGAACTGGATGGTCAGGAGGTGGGGTGTGGGCTTGGCTATGCCAAGCAGGCCCTGGGGTGGTGCTAGGAGGGCAAGGAGGTTGACTAGGCTGTGGGAGAAGTCACCGCCAACCCTTGGGAGTGCTCAGGCTGGCAGGGCCTTTGGGGTGACCGGATGTGTGGAGGGGCCGGGCCTTTATGCCACCATCATTCAGTACTGGGCGAGGCAGCTCTCTCCAGGGCTTTTTCCAGGAGAGGCTAGTTAACCCAGGGCAGGCAGACATCTCCCCATAGCTGTCCTCACCACCTGGAACTGCCATCCTGAGCTTCGCAGTGGAAAGTGGCTGCTTCATACATCCTTGTCCCAGAGCCCTAGGCCAGTGGTCAGCAAACTCATTAGTCAACAGAGCCAAATAACAGTACAACGATTGAAATTTCTTTTGAAAGCCAAATTTTTTAAACTTAAACTATATAGGTAGGTACATTGTTATTAACTTAATTAGGGTACTCCTAAGGCGTAGGAAGAGCCACACTCAAGGGGCCGAAGAGCTGCATGTGGCTCGCAAGCCGCAGTTTGCCGACCACGGGTCTAGGGCGTGTGGTTTCATCCTGTGGAGTTCACAGGGGAATAGGCACTTCCCTAGTGAAGGCGGCGTGCAGTGGACTGTTGTGTCTCCTCAGTGAGGACTGAGGGAGTAGGGTGAGCCCCGGCTCTGCAAACAAGGCAGCAGCTTCTGAGGATGATGCTGAGCCACTCGCGTGACAGGGGGACCTGCGGGTCAGACCCAGAGCCCCGGGCGAGGCATGCTGGTGAGGGCTGACCTGGGCCACTGTGCTCCATTAAGTGAAGGATGGTCTCACCCATCACAGAGCGGGGTTTACAGAGGAGAGCTCCTCCCAGGCCACAGCCTTCCCTGGCCTCCCACTCCACAGTCTCCCACACGGAAAGGCAGGCACATGGGGATGTTTGTCTCAGCGCAGAACGCCCAGTTCTTCATGGGTCTCCCGCCATGGAGCAAGGGCTACCCCGCCAGGTCTTGGTCACCGTGTGTGTGTGCACCTGAGAGGTGGGGCACGTGCCTGTATTAGTATTTGAGAAGCAGGGCATCAAAGAAAGACAAGGGTATGCATTGAGGCTGTGAGAGAGAGACGGGGCTGTGCGTGCAGCCACGTGGGGTCTCCAAGCCTGAGCGGGTGGGAACAAGGGGACAGTGGGAGTGAGAGTGTGTGGCAGGCGAGCAGGCTGAGCCCCCTCCACTTCCAGGTCAGCCAGAACAGCCTCACCATGCTGTCCTCGCCGTCGCCGGGCCAGCAGGTGCAGACCCCGCAGTCGATGCCTCCTCCCCCACAGCCATCCCCGCAGCCCGGCCAGCCCAGCTCACAGCCCAACTCCAACGTCAGGTAGGCCTGGCCGGGGTGCCCCTCCCTGCCTGGCTCACAGGGAAGGCCCTGCTGGTGCCCACAGCTCACAGACACGCTCCCTTTCCCTTTGCTGCAGCTCCGGCCCTGCCCCGTCCCCCAGTAGCTTCCTGCCAAGCCCCTCACCACAGCCCTCCCAGAGTCCAGTGACAGCGCGCACCCCGCAGAACTTCAGTGTCCCCTCCCCGGGACCTTTAAACACCCCTGGTAAGTCGGGTTGGGGATGGGCGTAGCCTGCGACCCAGGGCCAATCCTGTCACCCACATTCGCCCTGGAGTTGAGATGCTGAGGGCAACGCCCTCACCCTCGTGAGGCCTCGCTTGTCAGGGGTGAGCAAAACCGAACCCCTTGGAGCCCGAGTACCCCGCTTTGAGGGTTTGCAGAGTCGGGCCGTGTGGACTGGCTGGGCTCACCAGCCTCTGTCCTGCAGTAAACCCCAGCTCCGTCATGAGCCCAGCGGGCTCCAGCCAGGCCGAGGAGCAGCAGTACCTGGACAAGCTGAAGCAGCTGTCCAAGTACATCGAGCCCCTACGCCGCATGATCAACAAGATCGACAAGAACGAAGGTGAGGGTGGGGCCTGCACGGGGGTGGGGGTGGGAGGGGCAGGCTCCCAGGCTGTGTCTCAGTATCCCCGCTTCTGTTCCAGACAGAAAGAAGGACCTGAGTAAGATGAAGAGCCTCCTGGACATCCTGACTGACCCCTCCAAGAGGTGAGCATGTCCTCGGCCCGGGGAGGGCGGCGCTGCACCCACAGCTCATGGGCGCCCCAGGCCGCTGCTTGGCCAGGCTCGGACAGTGCGGAGTATAGGGAAGGGCCTGGGGCTCCACTCAGATGTGTCTGCTGAGGCTCTAAGCCCCTCCCCCACCTTTGCCAGCTGTGGGCCAGCCCAGCTCACAGCCCAACTCCAGCATCAGCTTGTGGGGCCCTCATAAGACAGAGCCTTAAGAAGCACTTGGGAGGCGATGAGTGCCAGGTTCTCGACACAGCGCCAGAGCTGGGCCAGCGCCACAGAACTGCGTGTGGACTGGCCTTCAGGTTACTTCCCTTGGCTCAGACTGTGTCTCCTTCCTGGTCTGCTTGTCTGGACAGAGTGCTAGGCTCTGCGGGGCTGGCCTGTTGGAGTTTGATGGCCCACAGGCCTTCTTGGCTTGACCCCTCATTTGGGCCTCTGGCCTACCTATGCCTTGTTCTGCTGATCAGGACTGAGCAGCTCCTGGGGTGGGACCACCAGGCCTTAGGCTCTGGATTCCTGTGGATGGTTCCAGTAGCCAAGGCTCCCGGCCTGACTGTCCAGGGAGGTCAGATGGGTGTGGTTGGATTAGCACACGAGAGCTGCCAGTTCTCCCATCCTCTAGCACAGAGGGTCAGCCACGTACCCTCTCCCCACAGGTGCCCTCTGAAGACTCTGCAGAAGTGTGAGATCGCCCTGGAGAAACTCAAGAATGACATGGCGGTGGTGAGTGGGGTGCTGTGGTCTGGTGAGGTTCTGAGGGCAGCAGGGAATGTCAGGGCTCACCCGACAGTGACTCGGAACCACAGGCTAAGAGCTGCCCTCACTGTCCAGGGTGGGCAGAGGGGGCTCACCACTCAGCCTGGGCACCCTGCTTGGAGTTTTCTTCCAGGTAGGTCTGCTGTGGGTGGTGGGGAGGTGGGAGAAATTGCCCTCCAGCTGTCGCCTGTGGGTGCTTCCTCCAACATCCAAGCTGTGGGTTTTCCTTTAAGCTGCCTCCACATCCTGCCTCCACTTGCCAAGTAGTAGGCCAGGCCCTGGTGGGAGGGGATCGGGGAGACTGTGTCCAGGATAGGCCATCTTTGTGTGCAGGGGTTGGAGGTGGTGGGGAGCTCGGGAAGTGTGGCTGTAAGTAAGGACGAGGGCCTTGAGCTCAGGAGAGCCTTCCCAAGAGGAGGCTGCTGACCTCACCCCTCCTGTACCAGCCCACGCCTCCACCACCCCCGGTACCACCGACCAAGCAGCAGTACTTGTGCCAGCCGCTCCTGGATGCCGTCCTGGCCAACATCCGCTCGCCCGTCTTCAACCATTCCCTGTACCGCACATTCGTGCCAGCCATGACGGCCATCCATGGCCCACCCATCACGTATGTACAGCCCAGGGCATAGCCTTGAGGTGGGCGCAGGTGTGGGACTACAGGCCACAGCCTAGCCAGTGTGGTCACCACGATCGCCTCCTCCAGGGCACCAGTGGTGTGCACCCGGAAGCGGAAGCTTGAAGAGGATGAGCGGCAGAGCATCCCCAACGTGCTCCAGGGCGAGGTGGCCAGATTAGACCCCAAGTTCCTGGTGAACTTGGACCCTTCTCACTGCAGTAACAACGGCACCGTCCATCTGATATGCAAGCTGGGTGAGTACCGGGGAGGGCAGGGCGGGCGAGGAGTAAGCCCAGCCCCAGGGCTCCACCATTTCTCCGGGCCATGGGGGTGCTGAGAACACAGCTTCCAGGCTTCACCTCAGAACTGGCCCAACCCGGACTGTGCACTGGGCTCAGCCTCCTACAGACACCCAGGCTCACCCCACAGCCCCAGGCTCACAGGAGCTGCCGGCGTTGTCCTCCTTGATCCTTACACCCTGGCCCCGGGACATCTTCCGAGGCCGGACCATGAGCCCAGCACTGTCCCCTCTCCCCTGTGCCAGGGAAGTCCAACCCTCCTGTCCAGTGGGGACTCTGCTTGCCTGAGGCCCTAGAGCCAGTGTCCTCCAGGCTTTGCAGCCTCACCAGAGCAGGGCCGTGAGGCAGGGTGGGTGGGTCATGGGCACAGCCTCTTGTGTTGCAGATGACAAGGACCTCCCAAGCGTGCCACCCCTGGAGCTCAGTGTGCCCGCCGACTACCCCGCCCAGAGCCCGCTGTGGATCGACCGGCAGTGGCAATACGGTGGGTGAGCCAAGAGGGCAGCTGTGAGGAGTCCCTGCCTGGGACCCAGGGCAGGCAGGGTCAGCTCTGAGCAACCAGGGTTTCCCCCACGTGCCGCCCAAGCTGAGGCCCTCCCTTTCCTCCTCTGGTTCCCCTTTGTGGACAAGAGCACGTTGCCCCACAACCACTGGAGAAAGAAGGGTCTCTGCCCCCATTGTGTCCCTTTGTCCTGCAACTTCAGGGCATCGGTGTACAGTAGGTGAGGAGTGAGCAGACCCAGGCCCAGCTGTTCAGTGGCCCTTGTGGGCCTCTGCAGGCTCACAGACACGCCCCCAGGCCTGCAATCCCCCTGGACTGGGCAGGAGCTTGGGCTCAGGGGAACCCATCTGGGTGACATGGCTCTCAGAGGCCCAGAGGGCTTCGTTGATGAGTCCCCATGAGGCTCAGACCTGGCACACAGAGGACCAGGACTAGAGCCCTGAGGCCATCCCTGAGGGAAAGCCCTGGGTTCCAAGTCCACTCAGTTGTCCAGTGACACTGGGCCGGGGAGACCTGACAGCCACCAGCGGTGCATGGGCGATGGCCTCCCAGGTAGCCGTGGCTGGAAGTGCCCCAGACACCAGCTCTGCCTTTGAGGGCAGGTTCCCATACAAGAGTTGCATGGGGCCCGTTGTCCTGGAGGAGGGCAGTGCTCAAGACCCACTACTCTGTTGCAGACGCCAATCCCTTCCTGCAGTCGGTGCACCGATGCATGACCTCAAGGCTGCTGCAGCTCCCCGACAAGCACTCAGTTACGGCCCTGCTCAACACATGGGCGGAGAGCATCCACCAGGCCTGCCTCTCGGCTGCCTAGCCACCACCACTACTGCATCTCGGGCTGCCAGCCCACCAGGAACCACGGGTCGGCTGGCAGCCTTGTTGGGGCCACAGAGGACACACACCTTGTGTCGGACCCTTCTAGGTGTTGGCTCCCTAGAGAGCCTGGGCTTAGGTTAGCTTTCCTGCTTTTATCTTCTGCCTTGGGGACCTACCAAGCGTTCCCCACACTTGAACCGGACGGGACGGGCTCTGGAGTCCTCTGTGGTAGGAGTGGCAGACACGCCCCGGGCCTGCGCTCCTCAAGCTGCTGTCCCTTTGGCACCTGCAGGGCCCCTGTCCTCCCTGTCTCCGGGGAGAAGCCAGGGCCCTGCTACAGCCCTTGTGTGTGCCAGAAAACACTCCCCCCGTTTCTGTAGGAAACCCTGAAGACACACAGAATTCTCTGCTCAGTGTTGGGTTCACACGGGGCCTGCCATAGGAAGGCTCCCGCATCCAGGGGCACCCGTGTGTCTAAAAGGAAGTATGGCCTGTGGATAGTTGCAAGTCACCACTACCCGCTGGACCTCACACCTCACGGCATGTTCCCTTCAAGCCCTGGGGCCTGCTCAGCACTGGGGGTCCCAGGGAGCAGAGCATTCTGGGGAAACCCTGTCCTTGGCACCATGTGTACTAGCTAGGCTCACTTTTGGGTCAGGGTGCCATCCTCTGGACCTGGTATCCTCAGAGCCACCTGGAGAGGGAGGGCTCCCTGATGAAGCATCAGCCAGTCCTCTGGTTCAGAGGTTCCCTCTTTTGTATGTGCACTACTATACCTTCTGTGGTTCTTATAATAAATTTATTATTCCTGTGTTTGTCATGAATTTGTCACTATGCCCCACCCACCCCTGTGAGTCCAGAGCCTACTATTCAGTGAGGGGTGTTGTCAGGGCTGAGCCAGGTCCCCCACCTTGGAGATAGCCATGGATGCCCAGACCTCAGTTCACCCTCATCTGACTTGATGCCTCGTCCTGGTTCACCTCCAGGTTTCTGGCAAAGTCTCTGTTCCCTGAAGCTGGAGGAGGCAGAGATTAGCCCTGAGAAACACCGGTGAGATGTAAGAGGAAGCTGCTGTTCTGGCGATTGAGGGGTAGATGTGAGGCCCTCAGGGGGTGAGGACATCACAGGGTAGGCCCAGCACCCTGCAGAGGACCATTCTCCTGGGGCCTTGACTGTGGCCCTTCACGGACGACACTGGGCTCAGCAGTGTGGCTCATCGCCGATGTCAGTGTGGACACAGATGTTGCCGAGGTAGGTGGACATCGTCTTGCCCTGAGGAGTGTCTGGTCAAGCAGAAGACCCGAGTGCCTGTGCCCAGAAGGCAGCTCAGGCAGGAAAGGCCCTGAAGCCAATAAGGGGTGCACACGAAGCTTGTTTGCAGGGCGGCCGCCAGCGCCCTCTCCCCCGCACCCCATTATAGGGTGCAGAGCTGGGGGCCTCCCAGGGCAGCAGCGCCTGACAGCCAGCGAGGGACTAGATTCAGGACTGGGAGAAACAAGCTTTATTCTTCAACAGGTGAAGTAATACTTTTAACACGCTCTTGTGTAAATGCAGAATAGCAAAATACTGAGCAAGAAAATAAACGTTTTTCGGTTCTCAGACCAAGGACTTTATCTGCTGTGAGTTTGGTTTATGTGGAATTTTTTTTTTTTTTTTTTGGAATGCTGCCTAGAGAGGGTGAGTGTCCCCAGCTGTGACCTGGGCCTGGCGGGGACCACGGTGCAGGCTGCTGAGGGCAGGCGCTCAGAGCACGGAGCGGTGCAGCCGCCGGCTCTGCACCACCTGCAGCCTTTTCTGCCGCTCTGCAAAGTTATTCTTCAGGGTCTGCTTCAGTGCGGGCAGGACGGCGCGCTCTGACACGGGAATCGGGCTCAGGATCAGGCTGGCGGGGGCAGAGTGGGCAGCAGAGCCAGGGCCTCCTTTCTGCTCTGCCCCGCCCCCTTCTCCTTGCAGGTGCCCCACCCATCCTGTGCCCCTGGACTCACCATTTCCTAGAGACACCCTTGGTGGGGACCTTGGAGAGCTGCATAGCTTCCTGGTCACTGGGGAAGGAAGAGGAAGCAGTGAGCCCTGCACCACCAGCTCTCCTGTGTTGGGGCAAGAGCCACACGGGGCACTCACTTGGGAGAGCTCGGGGCCTCCTCCTTGGAGGCCGCCCGGGATGACTTCTGGGTCCTTTCCAGGAGAGACTTGAGATGCTGCAGCTGGAAGACAGGGAGAAGGCATGGCGGCCAGGGCTGCAGAGCCGCCAGGGCTGCGCCCCACCACCCGAGCCTCACCTCTTGGGCCTGCAGGAGGTTGGCATTCCACAGCTGGCGGATGACCACTTCACACTGCTGGAGTGAGGTGGGTTTGCGCAAGTGGGGGGGCAGGTTCATCAGGCGGGGCACCCCCATCACCTGCTTGCTCTTGTGCTGGCTGCCTGCCACCGAGGTGGCGTCTGGATGAAAGGTCTCCACTTCATCTCTGAAACAGTCAGTGCAGCAGCCAGAGGTGGCCTGGCTGCCTTCTGCTGACCAGGGCGCCTGCACCGGGGTCTCTGGGGCCAGTGATCTGGGCCCATCTCTTCCTCCCCAGTGACCAGATGCGCATGTGTGTTTCACGCTGTCCTGACCCCAAACTTGGTAGAACTGGTCAAGAGGGAATCTAAGGACTGTGCAGAGGGAAACAGGAGCCTGTCCTGCTGGCTTTACTACCTGGGGGACAATGGGGTCCCTTTTCTGGTGCAAAGTACAGACTCCCTGCTGCTTTCTAGGGAAATTCCAAAACCTGGGGTGTCCTGCTGACCGTGCCTTCCAATGGCCGAGTTTCCCAGGTGGAGCCTGGAAACCTGACTCTTCTTGGTGAAAAGCAAGCTCGTTTGGAGGTCAAATTTTCGTAAATGGTTGCAGGGGTCCTCAAACTTTTTAAACGGGGCCAGTTCACTGTCCCTCAGACTGTTGGAGGGCCGGACTATAGTTAAAAAAAAACAACTACGAACAAATTCCCATGCACACTGCACATATCTTATTTTGAAGTAAAGAAACAAAACGCGAACAAATACAATATTTGTATTTGCATGTGGCCCGCGGGCCGTAGTTTGAGGACCCCTGGTTTAGGGGCTGCTGCTGGCCCCTCTGGTGGGCTCAGGTCAGCACAGGGGCCCTGTAGGACCCCCAGCTTAGTTCATGCTGGAGGCCAGCCCATTTGGAAGGCAAAGCAATGGGCTGGTTCCAGGGTGTGAACCTTCTAAGTGCCTTACCTGGAGGGCCTCTGTGCCACGGGGGCTTTGTCCAACTTGCTGCAGTGAAGCAGGGCAGCCGCCGAAGTCTTCTCTTCCAGGTCTGTCTTCTGGAGAACATCCGTTTTTGAGTCTGTCCTCTTGGAGCTGGGTTGAGGCCTGGCCTTGTTTTGAGAGTTGGCTGCAGGTCAGACCCAGACAGGGCCAATTACTGCGGGCATCAAGCATTTGTGCCCAAGTCCTCCAGGATCAGCTGTGTGTGCCCAAGGAGCCCCCGCCCCCTGCCTCAGTTTCCTCCTGGTAAAGGGGAGACGGTAGCAGACCCTCCTGCTGGAACACAGGAAGGAGGGTCTGAGCATGAAGCCTGAGGGCGGAGCCTCCTGAACGCTCTGACTCCTGAAACAGGGCCAGTCTCTTCCCAGGCTTCCGAAAACACTGGGGGTGGGTGGCCCTGCAGCTGTCCCCTGCCTAAAGCAGAACCCCACTTGGGACAAAATGAAACTGAATGAGAGGTCCTGATCCAACCCCAGGTTTGCTTTCCCAGAACAAGATCCATGGCCTGCCTGGGTCCACCTTAGAGCCCGGGCGGCTCCCGATCAGCATGCCTGCCTCTCAGGAGGCGGCGTGGGGAGAAGAGGCCCTCAGTGCTGCAAAGGGCGCCGGGGCCATCGGACCTGCGTCCTGCCTGCTTAGCGGGGACACTACCAGCCGGGCAGCCAGCTCCCCACCCTGTCTCTGGAAGACACTCAGAGAGGCTGTCAGCTCCAGGTGGGCCTCGCTGACATCCCTGTTTCTGCAGCCTCCCTCCCTCCCTCCGGCTGACCCACAGCCCCATCCCATCCAGCTCAGCCCCCTTCTGGTGGTTTCAGCTCACCACACCCTCTTGGCTCCCTTTTGTTGCCCCTTAACCCTCAGGTCCTTGGGGCCTGGCAAAGGCACCTTCTCCCCACCCCCAGGGCTGCCTAACAGTGGGGCACTTGCCCTCCCCCCCAAGCACACTGAGGGTGCTGGCAGGCTCACCTGACATCACTGAGTTTGGAATGGGCTTGACGGCCTGAAAGTTGGAATTGTTGATGCTACCTGTGGGCGAACATGCAGGGTTCAACCCAAGATGGCAGCTTATGTTCCACTTCCCCCAGCAGCTTCTGCACAGCAAGAGGCCGGGCCCTCCTGCGCCCGCCTCCTGGCCTCGCAGGCCCTGGGCCCGGGCATTCATGCAGAGCCCTCCCCGATGTTCTGGTGAGGCAGCCCCAGATCTAGCCAGTGCCTGAGGGGAGCCAAGGCCACAAAGGAGGGGGCTTGGGGCCGTAGGAGTAGGCAGGTCCTGAAGGCATACAACCTCTCCTGATGTCCCTTCGGGGACCCCCGCACCCCCCCCCCCCCCCCCCACACACACACACTGCAGGACTGGGGCCGCTAAATGGGCGCCACTGTGTGTCAGGGACAGCTCACTGGAGCTGCTCTGCCCACTAAAGCCAGGCCCCCATATCCCATTCTCTGTGTCCCCCAGGAAGAAAGAACCTAGCCACCCCCACCCCCACCCCCGAGACTGGAGCACCCCAGGCTGGCACCACTCACCACTCAGTGTCAGGCCTGGCCCCAAATGTTAGTGGGGAGAACAAGCCCAAAGCAGTCTGGGCTGGGCTGGGGGACAGATAGCGTCAATGTGCCTCAGATGAGGGAGGACTTTGGACAAGTGGCTGCAGGTCTCTGTGTCCTGCACTTTCTTCTCCCAGACCCCACAGTTGCTTCTGAGACGGTAGAGGGAATCCCTGCCATCCCAGGAATGAGAGGCCAGAGCCACAGGGCTGGGCTGGGCTCCCCAGCATTTCAGAGGGACACAGGAGCAGGCCAGAGCAGCAGCCAAGTGAGAGCTCACCAAGGCAGTGAGGCTGGGGAAGGCAGGGACAGGCCTGGGCACCCCCACCGGCAGCTGTTCTGCCCACTGACCCTACTGTTCAGACTTCAGGCCTTGGGCTCCCTGAGAGCGGCACCTGTGCTTGTCACCCAGACCATGGCTGGGTGCAGCGGTGTCTGTCCAGAGCCTCCAGGACCCCTCACCACTAGGACAGTGCGTGGGCCAGAGCAGCTGGGTGGGCACAGACAGTTTAGAGGGGCTGCTCTTGACAGTGGTAACTTCCCATCGGGCACTGAGGGCCTCAGTCTTACCTCTCTTAATTGACTTCTGGTTCATTATGAGCTTGTAATGGAGCTCTGGAAGCAAGCACATGTTCTCGTCATTTTCAAAGCCACAGCCATTTGAGAGAAGCTTGTCTTGCCCTACCCTGCCCACCCTCTCTCCGCTGAGTCCCCAAGAGGCCTCGGGGACCCTGCCCCATGGGCCAAGACTTTGCCTTGGTTCCTTAGGGCTGGGAATGCCTCTGGCTGTTCCCTGAGCCAAAGCCCTGCATGAGAGCCTCACCCAAAATCCCACCCTTCATCCATGACGTCTACAGGGCACCCTCTGCCAGGTGGGGGGCTTGGTTCCCAGGGTAGAGGGATGAGTCGGGATGGCCCAGCTTTCCAGGAGCCCCTGGCCATGGATGAGCAGATGTAGTCAGTGCTACAACCAAGTGCCCAAGGCACGGCTGGTATCAGGGAGGGACTGGGGTGAAACTCGAGAAGACAGGGTGAGCTAAAGTGTGAGGAAGGCCAGAGAGAGGGGCAGGGTCCCATGGTGGAGGCCTCAAGTTCTGCTTCAGGGGGCTGAGGAGTCTCGAGGGGTGTAAAATTAGGAAGTGGGTCTGTCCTGAGGAGACACAAGGGCACAGGGTCCCAGATGTCTGGGGAGAGGTTGGATGGAGCCCAGGGATCCTGCTGGGCCAGCACGTCTGCCCTTGATCTGGGTGTGCTTAGTGTGTGAAAGTTCACTGAGCTACTTTTGAGGGTATGTTTTACTTTTTTAAAAGTTTTAAAAATGAGGTGGACCTGGCCCTGCCTGCAGAAAAGGCTGACGGGGTGACTGTGGGAAATGATGCAGCCACACCCGCCCTGCCAGATGGGCAGTTGCCCAGAAGGCCACCTTCTATGAAGACAGACCCATGACTGGAGGGGGGTTGGGGGGGCTGGTCTGGGGTAGGGAGCCTGAGCCCCGCGGTAGGACCCGGGGCGGGCTTGCTGCCCTGAGTCCTCCCTAAAGGGGCGTGTTCTGGAGTCCATGTACTGCTTCGGTGCTGAGGACAGAGACAGGGAGGCGGGTCTTCTGGTCTCTCGGGTCCCACCGCGGGGGGCGCCGTGTCCGGCCCGCCCCCTGCACTCACCCTTGTTCTCCCGCTTCAGGTGATCAATCTCCTCGTGGAGTTTGACTAGCGTCTCCGAGTGCTGCTGCTGCAGGAACTGCAGGCTCTTCTCCAGGTCCAGCACCCGCTTCTGCGCCTCGCCGACCCCGAGCGGCGCGGCCTGATACCCCAGGTTGTGGAGGGCCGC